TCTATATACGAAGGAACTACATCGGTAAAACAGTCAAAGCTGCAACTGGTCCAGTCAGAATTTGAAGAACTGCGCATGAACGAGGATGAGACAGTCATCGACTTTCATACACGCGTACAGGAAAAACTTGTTAAGAAGATACTGAGATCTTTACCGCCCAGGTTTCGAATGAAAGTCACAGCCATCCAAGAGCATGATGGCTGGGATAAAAAATATGTTACTCAGGTTATGGGAAATCTTAAAATATATGAAATGGAGATTTTAACTGATCATACGAAAAAACAAAAAAATATTACTTTTGCCGCTGAAGAAAATAATGTTGTATCCGATACAGATGAAACTAGTGATGATACAGTTGCATTCTTAACTAAACAGTTTTCAAAAATTTTGAAACAGGTATCCAAAAACACTCACAACAGAAATTCACTAAAGGGAGCAACGTCGTTCAAAACTGCACCTAGGACAGGAGCGTCAAACGCCAAGCAGTTCTATCTCACGTCCAGGACAGTCCAAAGAAAGGTCCAACAACAAAGGCATCAAGTGCTATGAATGCGAGGGATTTGGGCATGTACAAGCTGAATGCGCCACCTATCTTTGACGCAAAAAGTCTATGTCCGCCATTACGTGGAGCGATGACGAGCCCGACGTTGAACCAACTGGGTTAGATGCCGAAGAAATTTCGGGTAACTTTGTTGCATTTACAGCACGATTTACTGACAGTTTAGAACCTGTTGAAGACTCAGAAGGTGGTGACTACGTCTCTGCAGAAGATGTGGAACAAAATGCTTTATCTTTTGAAACTGAATTTAATAAGTTGTATCCCAAATGGGAAGCATTAAGAAAAATGAACTGCAAACTAGCTAGTGAAATTGAGATTGTAACGAATGCAAATAAAGTCTATCAAAATCAAGTAGCCGATATGAATGTTTTGCTTAAAGAAGCAGCATGTCGAGAGGAAAGACTACAACACGAAGTACAAACCGGAAAGGTACTTCTTAAGGAAGCAGCTGACCGAGAAGCAAAACTCCAACAAGAAGTTCAGAGTTTGAAACAGGAGCTCAGCACCTACAAACGACAAATCCAAATGATGGATATCACTTCAACACTCGATAAGATTCTTGATTCCGGCAGGAAAACGTCTGCAAAATTTGGTTTGGGCTTCACTGGCAGTAACTCCAAAGATAAGACTGTATTTGTCAAAGCCTCTGGACCTGATCCAGACGACATCCCTGAATGCAGCACTGTGAAACGCTCCTATGGTAAAGTAAACGTAAATAAGATAAGTTATAAGCTATATAATCCTGTTTGCCACTATTGTAGGTTACGCGGACATACCAGACCTGAATGCTACTATTTCTACAAAGGTCAAAGGATTGAGAAGTTCAGGCACAAGAACATTCAACCTTTCACAAAACAGATTTGGGTCAAAAGGCTGATTATATATCGTTTGTTTCATTTCATACTAAAAGTGCTGGACGAGAAGAGATATGGTATTTTGACAGCGGGTGTTCCCGCCACATGACAGGGAATGTAAAATTCCTGAAAAACGTCAATACCAGTAACGGTGAAGTTACTTTCGGTGACGGTGTCAAAGGTCAAGTGACTGGCGTAGGCACTTTAAATGTAGCTGGTTTGCCAAAACTGGACAAAGTGTTACTTGTCCGTGGACTTCACGCCAATCTTATTATCATAAGTCAATTGTGCGACCAAAACTGGAACGTGTGCTTCACTAAAAATAGCTGTAGTGTGATGGACAACTCAAATCAGTGTGTCATGGAAGGTAAACGATCAAATGATAATTGCTATATTCTATCAAATAATGTGCTATGTTGCAGGTCCAGCATGAATGAAGCTGAGCTATGACATCAAAAAATGGGCCATCTTAGTTATAGACTTCTCGATAAACTTGTAAAATAGAAGGTGTTCGTGGGCAACCGAAAATGAAAGTCGAGTCATCTATCTGCGGTGCCTGTCAAGCTGGGAAACAAATCAGATCAGCTCATCCAGCTCAACACACCATAAACACAAGCCGGTGCCTGGAATTGATTCACATGGACCTCGTTGGTCCAACTCAGACAGAAAGTCTTGGAGGTAAGAAGTATATACTAGTATGCGTTGATGATTTTTCTCGTTTTGCTTAGGTTACGTTTCTCAGGGAAAAATCCGAAGCGCTTGAGGCATTCAAGACACTGGGATTAAAACTTCAAAAAGAAAGAAACGAATCCATCAGTAGAACTCGAAGCAATCACGACAGAGAATTCGAGAACAAGCTGTTCGATAACTTTTGTAATCAATTAGGGATTACACATGAGTATTCAGCTCCAAAAACTCCAAAACAAAACGGAGTTGTGGAAAGGAAAAATCGCACCATCCAGGAGATGGGTAGAGTGTTGCTCAACGCCAAAGGATTACCACAAAAGTTCTGGGCGGAGGTTGTAAACACCGTGTCACATCATCAACAGAGTTTACCTACGACCGGGCACAACACAAACTCCGTATGAACTCTGGAAAGGTAAGAAATAGAACATTACTTATTTTCACATTTTCGGCTCACGTTGTTTTATCTTGAAAGATAGGAATCCGACTTCTAAATTTGAACCGAAAAGCGACGAAGGAATTTTCCTCGGATATTCCATCAACAGCAGAGCCTATCGAGTATATAATAAAGTGACCAAAATCATAATGGAGTCCACAAACGTCGTCATTGATGATCAACCCAGTGAGATTACTGAAGTTGTCCAAACTGATCCAGTGACAGAACTTGAAACTGACCGACCTAAAATTCCTGACGCTGGTACTCCAGAACCAGACCTTGAGTCACCTATCTCATCGCCCATATGCAATCAACCCGAATCTGAACCTGAGACAGAATCAGAAAATGATCATGATGATATTGATATTCCAACTCGTATTCAGAAAAATCAACCGATCCAAAATATAATTTGAGATCCCAGTTCAGGTGTGAAAACTCGAGGTAAACCAAAGCGCGACTATCTTGAACTAGCTGGATACTCTTGCTATACGTTGCAGATTGAACCAAAGAATATCAAAGAAGCCTTAACTGATGAACACTGGATCAAGGCCATGCAAGAAGAATTGGGACAATTCGAAAGGAACAAGGTATGGACTCTAATCCCTAAACCGAATAATGTAAATATTGTAGGTACAAAGTGGATTTTTCGAAACAAGACTGACGCAACCGGTAATATCGCTCGAAATAAAGCAAGACTAGTCGCTCAAGGGTATTCCCAAATTGAGGGAATCGACTACAACGAAACGTTTGCTCTAGTGGCTCGCCTGGAATCCATCCGATTGCTACTCTCCATTGCCTGTGCTTTAAAGATGAAGCTCTTTCATATGGATGTTAAAACAGCCTTTCTAAACGGCTATCTCACAGAGGATATATATGTTGCACAACCGAAAGGGTTTGAAGACCCGCAACATCCAGAATATGTATACAAGCTTGAAAAAGCTCTATACGGGCTAAAACAAGCTCCAAGAGCCTGGTACGAAAGACTTGCACAATATTTACTTCAAAATGATTACAAACGAGGAGGTTCGGACAAAACCTTATTCATAAAACGATCAGGTAAACACATAAGCATTGCACAAGTTTACGTTGATGATATTGTGTTTGGGTCCACACAGACAGGTGAAACGGACAAACTGGTCAAAGTTATGCAACAAGAGTTCGAAATGAGTATGATCGGAGAGCTGACGTATTTTCTAGGATTACAGGTCAATCAGTCAAAAGAAGGGATATTTATTTCTGAAGCGAAGTATGCGAAAAATCTCATATCAAAATTCGATTTTGAATCTGCGAAAGATGCCCGGACACCCGTCTCAACAACTACAAAATTATCTAAAGACAATCAAGGTACTTCCGTTGACTACACATTGTACGGGAGTATGATTGGTAGTTTACTGTACCTAACTGCTAGTAGACCTGACATCATGGTAAGTGTTGGTATGTGTGCACGCTATCAAGCAGATCCAAAGGAATCGCACTTGAAGGCAGTCAAACGTATTATAAAATACGTTAAAGGTAAAATAAATTATGGTATTTGGTATTCCACTGATACTAATCTCAGTCTTACAGGTTTTAGTGATGCTGACTGGGCTGGTAACGCCGATGATAGAAAAAGCACATCCGGAGGATGCTTCTTTATCGGGAAAAATCTGGTTGCCTGGCTGAGTAAAAAGCAAAATTCAATCTCGCTCTGCACTGCAGAAGCTGAGTACATAGCTGCAGGCAGTTGTTGTACACAGTTGCTTTAGATGCGTCAAATGCTGTCCGATTACGGGTTTGATTAGAAAAATATCGTCCTCTTCTGCGACAACACGAGTGCGATCAATATATCTAAAAATCTGGTACAACACTCCCGGACGAAGCACATAGACATCCGTCATCATTTCATCCGAAACTAGTTGAAGAAAAAGTAATTAATTTAGAATACATTCCAACTGACAAAAATCTTGCAGATTTATTCACGAAACCATTAGACAAATCCAGGTTTGAACTACTTCGTGCAGCCCTCGGAGTTTGTACGATTAATGTCTAAATTCTCCAGCAGGTATTTTTTTAAATTTATTTTTTATTTTTGGACTAACTGATTAATTGGTTTACGTGCGTGTTTCTGTTACCAGAGACAAAGGGATACAAATTTGTTTGGGTTTCTTTAATCTTTCCGGTCTTATTTATGTATATATGAATTACTAATTTTCCCTTGGAATGTTTTATTTTTTTCGGATATCTTATGCTTGCATCTAGAAGACCAATTCTAGTCAAACACCATCAAACTCTCCTTTTTCCACTCATCTACTAACCTATGAATATCATTATATCTATCCTAGCCATCAATATCTCACGCCTTTTCAAGCTACACATCAAATCAACCCATTACTTTTTGTCTCTCTTGGTCTTCCTCTCAACCCGAGATCACCACCATCATCTTCATCTCTTCACCTTCCACCATTATTTCTCTCTACAAGCTTCACCCATGGAAAATCCATTTCTCATCTACATGACTCGATTAGAAAGAGCAAACCTTTTTCGAAAAATCATTGATGTCGAGTCTCCCTTATCTCCTGAAGCTACCGATAAGGTTCTTGCCACAATCAAATCAGACGGATTTCTACTGGAAAGGCTCACGGACAAAGAAAAGAGGCAAATGCTTGCTCTAGCTCGCCATATCTCCGCCATACCTTGGCCGTTTCCACCTGTGTCAGCCGCTGTCCCAGATTCCACTCTTCCCGGTCCAGCGTCTCTTGCCTCATCTCAGACAGTGGTACTCCCTGCCCTTTCTTCGCCTTTAAACACATCTAGAAAAATTGATTTTGATGTATCTCTGCCTGATCAATTTGTGTCTCCCATATCTCATGATGTTTTTGATGTTCAAACTCTGCTTGTACCTGGTGATCCTTATGATCCTTTGTCTCACAATTTACCTAGGGAAAATGTTGATTTAGTTGCTTTATCTGACCTAGTAAATTCTTTGCCATCTGCGTTTTCCATTCGAAATGTTGCCCAACATGTGTCTGTTCCAACCGTGGCTTGTTCGGCCTTTTCTATTCCCATTACTATTGCTGCATCTAAAAGTCACTCTGATCCTGTACCCATTCCTGTTTCATCTACGCAAGAATCGGTTCCCATTATCTCTGTTCCTATTGCTAAATCTTCCCGAAAGGGAAAGGAGAAAATCTCTGTTTCAGGTACTGCAGAAAAGAGAGGATTGTCACAGTTGGATGATGTTGAAACTCAAACTGATCATAAACTTCAACGGAAGGGTTCCACATTGCCACCCAGAACCACTTGGTCAAGAGCCCAAGTTGACACACATGCTGTTCCTACGCCATCTGGCTCCAAATCGAAAGGATCAAGCAAGGTCTACAAACCGCATCTTCTATCTCCCGATTTATTTGTTGTTTGGAAAACTCATGTCAACCGGGTTTCCATCGTCGAAAAATCTATCAATGAAGAGGATTTGGCTGCCAAGTGCAATATTATCCCGCTGTTACGTGATCAAAATTTGCTTGCCTCTCTACGCCATATTGGTCCCTACTCTACATGGTTGACAGCAGAATTTTACACAAATTTGACCTTGGACACATTCAATGAAGGCTAGCATGATTTCATCAAGTTTTCATTCGTGGCACTTGGTATCCTTTCGGGCCTACTGAGATTAATGCATATTTGGGCACACCAAATCATCCTGCTTCTCCGGATCCTAGTCCTCACTTGTTGGCAACTGCACTCACTCATAATAAAGTGGTTTCATGGCCGAGTGATGGAATTTCAAGCTTGAAGCTCACAACTGTCTACTCCGTGCTTCTTCGCCTTGCATCGGCGAATTGGGTCCTGGCAGTCCGTCGCCATCAAGTACCAGAACATCTAGCTGGCCTTCTATACAAAATCAGGAACCGTCTTCCGTTCAACCTCGGCATGGTTATTTTCTCTCACTTAATGTCTTTTTTGCAGAAGAAAGAAGCCAAAGTCCATCTCCCTTTTCCGTGTTTGATTTATGGGGTGCTTCAAGACCATGGTTTTATTCCCTATAAGGAAGAAGTGATTACAACTCCTGACAATGCTTACATTTTTGATGATCGACTTACACAACGAGGTCATTATGATGATCGAGCTTCACTTGATCAGCTTCCTGCTATTCCACCTCCAGCGCCAATGGTTTCTGCGCCAGCCTCATCTACTGACACTACGTCAGCTTCTCGTCCAGGCTCAAGACTGGTTCCCAAAGAACCCCCAACATTGGTTGATCGTAGGCAGATTGTGCTCACTCTTGAGGCCTCTATTGCACAAGTTCAACAATCGGTCACCCCTCAACAAGCAACCATCTCTGGCCTTGCAAAGCTTCGTGATGCATAGCTCGAAGAAACCTCGCTCGCATAGAAGCTATTCACGATAAATCTAATCCACTATTTGATGTTCACCTTCCTTTGTCATTTATTTGGCAAAAGGGGGAGTAAGGAGTAAGGAGTAAAGGGGAGTATGGGGGACTATTCTACTTTTTTGGATGACTATGGTACGGTTTTATTGGCTATTTTGGAAGGGCTATTTTTGGAAGTGTTATTGCTAGTCAGTATGGTAATAATGGACTTATATTAGTTAGGGGGAGTAATAGTAGTGTTTGATGCTCCTAACTATCTGTATGGATATTTTTGGTATGGTATCTCGCATCACAAGTTAATCGGTGTTATGGTATGCTATGATTTCAATGCTTCTGTGTGTGATTCAAGAATTGAAGATTTTTTCAATTAGATTCTCTATTCAGAAGTGGTCCAAAAGAATTTAATTTTTTAATTATTTTCTAAATGTCTATGATATGTTAAGTACATATATTAAGGGCTATAAATAAAATTTAAATTGATTTTTGCCCAAAGTAATTGATACTCAAGTTTTCCAAATAAAATGCCAAAGGGGGAGATTGTAAGTGTAAAATAAATTTACACGATTGGCTATTTTATTGGCTTTACTAGATTTAAATTAAAATAGTGTTGTTAGTGTTAATTCTTTTATGGACCATGTGAGTAGATAATTAGTGGCCATCATGGATTGTTTATTTGAGTCTACGGTGAAGCATTCAAAGAACAAAATGAGTGGCTGTGGCTTATTCGAACAGTGGAAGGTTAAGGAAGAGGCTACATTTGAGGATCAAACAAAAGACTCATGAAGCACTATAAAAGCATACTGTGATGGTGTCTTTGATAAGCCAGCTTTGCTCTTTGTTCAGATCAGTAAGTAAGCAGTTTTGGTTCAGCTAACAGCTTTTATGGGTCAAGGGCTTTTTGGTATTTTCCTGTTAAGATGGCAGTTATAACTGCCATCTCTTCCTCTCTCCTTTTATAAGGCTGTAATCTTCTTTTTCTTCTGAAGTTTTCCTCTCCAATAATACAACATGCTGAGCTTCTTACCATAGATGAACTTTGTCACTTTCACCATGAGTTAATCTATCTTAACACGGTATCAGGGCGCCGGAGCTACGCCGCCGTGGTGATGACAGAAAATCAGAATGGAAATTCAGTCGGAGCTTTTTCGAGCCAAAGTCCAGCTCAGATGAACATGAATTCGAGTCCAAATCATGCTCAAAGAGCTGCTGATGAATTCGATGATCCCTGGTACCTGCATATTACAGAAAATCCTAACCTGATCCTGGTGTCTCCACCACTGTCCGAGGTGAATTATGCGTCCTGGAGCAGATCAATGAAGATAGCTCTTGAAGTCAAAAATAAATTTGGATTTGCAGATGGATCCATATTGAAACCTGAGATAAATGATCCGAAGTACACTATTTGGAAGAGATGCAACAACATAGTGTGCTCTTGGATCTTCAAATCGCTGAGTCCTACGATTGCAGAAGGAGTTTTATACCTTGAAGTTGCATCGGATGTCTGGAATATTCTGAAGAAGAGGTATTCTCAGGTTGATTCACAGAGGATTGCTGAATTGCAGAATGAGATCTTCAAATGTTCTCAAGGTAATCTCACAATTAATGAGTAGTTTACTAAAAGTAATGCATTATGGGTTCAAATGAATGCAATGAGACCTATTCTTGCCTGTGAGTGTGTGCCTAAGTGTACCTGTACTCTGATTGGGAAGATCCAAAAGGAAAAGGAAGAGGATCAGATAATAAGATTCCTAGAAGGATTGAATGAAGAATATGAGAATATCAAATCCGGAATTCTAGTCATGGAACCTATTCCAGCCATGGAAAAAGTTCTCAATATGACTTTAAAGATGGAAAGGAAGCTCAGGAATTCTCTTAGTCAGAAGAACACTGATCTAGTTCAAGCTAATGTTGTTCAAGGTGGTGGAGATCAGAGTGCAGATGATCAACCTGTGGTTTCAGCCTTAAGCAACAACAACAAGAAGAAATACAACAGTGGAACAGGGAAAAATGTGCCTAAATGCATTTTTTTGTGGAATGATTGGACATACTTTGAGAAATGCTATAAGAAGCATGGATATCCCCCAGGTTGGGTAGCAGGTTATAAGTCTAAGAATAAACAACAGCCTCAAGATGCTCAGCAGGTCCACAATGCTTCTGTGAACCAAATTGGTGATATAGGCCTCACTAATGATCAGTTTCAAAGGCTATTGTCATTGTTGCAGAATCAGAATCAAGGAAGTCAAGCATCAACTAATGCAGTTGTGACTGTCAACACTACTGGACTGAGACTAGAATTCAGAAATCCCATGGAGAAACATCATGAAGGCAAGTTTATCTCTAACCTTCATGTTAGTAGTGCTTTAATTTCCTCCACCATTTGGATTCTAGACTCAGGAGCCACTGACCATATACATGCTCCTTAGAATACTTTGAAGCATACAATTCTGTTCAGGGAATGTCTGTTAAGTTACCAAATGGAGAAATGTTGAGTGTATCACATATAGGACAAGTCAAGTTGCATAAAAACATATTGTTGCAGGATGTCTTACATATTCCCTCCTTCACTTTCAACATTATATCTGCAAGCAAGTTAGTGAGACAATCAGGCTATGAAATCATTATGAAACCTAACTCTTGCACCATTCAGGGACATCTTTGGAATATGGATGGTTTTGCTAAGGAAAGAGATGGATTATACATACTTTCTGATCCACCTATGAAGAAGCAGATGTGTGGTGTGAATGAAGAATCTGATATACTTTGTAATGGTTTTTCTCTGCAATTGTGGCATGATAGATTAGGGCACTTTCCCATAAATAAAGTGCAACTATTAAAGGGAATAAAACTTGCATCTTCTTCTAAACCTGTTGATTTTATCTGTGAGACATGTCATTTTGCAAGACATAAGAGATCTATTTTCCCTGTCAGTGTTACTAGAGCTGAAAGATGTTTTGATTTATTACACATGGATGTTTGGGGCCCCTTTGCTGTGCCATCTCTCAAAGGGGAGCATTATTTTTTGACTATGGTAGATGATCATAGTAGATTTACTTGGCTGCATCTAATGACACACAAATCGGAAGTAAAGACCATATTTCAGAACTTTTACAATATGGTTTGCACTCAGTTTTCAGCAAAAATTAAGGCTGTCAGAACAGATAATGGAAGTGAGTTCATAATGACCACATTTTTCAATGAAAAAGGAATAATACATCAGAGATCATGTGTGTACACACCCCAGCAGAATGGGGTGGCTGAAAGAAAATATTAACATATTCTGAATATAGCCAGAGCCTTGAAATTTCAGTCTGGATTGCCTGATGATTTTTGGGGCCACTGTGTCCTAGACTCCTCTTATTTGATTAATAGGCTTCCTACTGATGTTCTAAATGGTAGCACTCCATTTCAGATATTGTTTGGGAAGGATGTGGATTATGAGCATTTCAGATCCGTTGGTTGTTTAGCATTTGCTGCAACTATTTCACCAGGGAGGAACAAGATGGGATCCAAGGCCTCAAAGTGCATATTCTTGGGTTTTCCTGCTAATGTCAAAGGCTACATGTTATATGATGTTATTAACAAAGTTACTTTTGTTTCTAGGGATGTCAAATTCTATGAACATGTTTATCCTTTCAGAGACAAAAATCTAGATGTCAATAAGCCTGCATCAGAGTTGTTTAATCCCACCTTGCCTCTTGTTCCCATTTCTGTTAAAGCAGATGCTAGTTCTTTAGAGCCAACAAGAGGACATGTTATCCCTGCAGCCACATCTCAAAGTTGTGACAACAACTCTAATGAGATAACCAGTAGAGCTCTGTTGAATGATGATGATATTCACTCTGGTGAGACAGCCAATGATGCCTTGATGAATGGTCAGTCACCAAACCTCTTTGTTGAATTACCCTCTCTTAATACATCAGATGAGGTTGATAGGCAAGCTCAATCTGATAACATTCCACAGCCAAGAAGATCATCTAGAACAAGAAATGTTCCATCAAAGTTGCAGGATTACCTGTGTCAATCTACCATGATGAGAAGTAGTTTTAGAACCTCACCACACTCTATGGACAAGTTTATCTCCTATGATAACTTGTCACCCAGCCATAGATTGTGTGCATCATCCATTACCACTTCACATGAACCTCAAACTTACAAAGAGGCAGTCAGAAGTGAAGAATGGAGGAAAGCAATGCAAGATGAAAAAAAGTCCTTGGTTCAGAATGATACATGGCTATTGACAAATCTGCCAGCAGGAAAGACTCCCATTGGCTGTAGATGGGTGTACAAAATTAAACACAAATCAGATGGTTCTATTGAAAGATATAAGGCCAGGCTAGTGGCAAAGGGATATACTCAACAATTAGGTGTTGACTATATTGAAACTTTTTCTCCTGTGGCAAGAATGACAACAATCAAAACTTTTTTGGCTGTGGCTGTGGCAAAAGGATGGGACATCCAACAACTTGATATTAACAATGCTTTTCTTCATGGGGATTTGCAGGAGGAAGTGTATATGGTTGTGCCACCAAGTTTTCAAACTGATAAGCCCAATCAAGTTTGCAAACTGCTGAGATCTTTATATGGATTAAAACAGGCTAGTAGACAATGGAATGCCAAATTAACTAAAGCATTGCAAGACAATGGTTTCAGACAATCATCTGCTGATCCTTCTCTGTTTACCAAGAAAACTCGTGATTCTTTCATTGCTTTGTTAGTATATGTTGATGATGTCCTGGTTGCAGGAACATGTTCTGTTCAGATTAAAGAATTGAAACAATTTCTGGACAACTCTTTCAAGATCAAAGATCTTGGTCCATTAAACTACTTTCTTGGCATTGAAGCTTTCAGATCCTCTAAGGGTATCAACATCTGCCAGAGGAAGTACACTCTTGAGATCCTTGAAGAAAATGGCTTCCTGGAAGCCAAGCCTGCTAATACTCCTTTCAATGCAGGTCTAAGACTTCATAGTTTGGATGGG